CTGAGGCCATGAATGTGAGGTCAGTGGCTGCTGCATGGGTCGCAGCATTCTCGGCCATGAATCTGTCATCCCTTCGGGAAATGTGTCGGCGATGAATGGTGCCTCGGAGTGGAATCTCACGAAGTATGCAACTAAACTGCTAGGCAACTGAGGTAGTGCCTGTGGACCACGGGATTGACTGCTATGATTCTGTCCCTTCGGGAATGTTTGGGATGATTGTGCCTCGGAGTTGACCTTTGTCAATTTGTGTAGCAACTTACTGTTCCAGGATGTTCGAAGATTGTGCATTCTTTGCTTCAGCTTGTGGTTGTGTTGCTGTCTGAGGCGAGCTATTTCTATGACTGGTGAGTCATTCAGGTGGCTGTGACAATGATGAAAGGTGCCTCGGGAGTCTTGTTCAGTTTTCATGGATGTGACAAAGTGCCTCGGACTTCAGTCTTATGAAAGACCAGTACTGTCGAAGTGCATGCAAGGATTGTTGTTACTTATGTCCCCACAATATGAGGTGGCCTGTCAAATGTGATATGAATTGCAGCCTTATCTGAATGTGGGCTGGCGGGGCCCTTGGGGACGCCACTGGATTGCAAGCATACTGTCAACTTATAGTTTCATGAGCATATGCTTGAAATGTACCCATCCGGTCCTACAGCTCAGGCACATTATGAATTGTGGAAGTGTGCTGGCAGCCGCTGGGTGATGTGGCTTGGAGTCAAGCAGAATCTCGACTTATGCCTGAATGTGTTCACCATTGCAACCTGTGTTGGAGCTGAGGAAAATAAAGATTGCGTCTGGGATGGAAGCTGCTGAGAGTGTCGCTGGACAGCAATTACAAATTTGTTTTGCAAACTTGTGTCATCATGTGGACTATAACCATCCACTGTTGCAACCGAGGACAACATCAGTATTGGGCTGTGACTGGGCCCCTCTGCACTGGATCACGGCTGTGCGAGTCCTGCTGCAAACATGACGTCGAGCTGTGCGCGCGATAGTTGCAGAGTGTAGGGCTTGTGTGCGAGTGTGCTCACCATGACATGTCGTGTCTGTGTTGGGCCTGTGCGTAGGGCTTGTGTGCGACTGTGCTCTCCATGACATGTCGTGACTGTGTTGGGCCTGTGCCACTACAGCGGACCTTCGGTGACCCTGGCTCTCAGACTGCAGTGTTTCTGCTGAAACCTAGGTTAGGACTCATGCTGAGCGATGTGATATCTCTAAGTCCAACCTGAAGTAGGATTTTGGAGCAGTGGAATGTCTACTTTGTACTTGTCATCAGACTCTGTTGTAGATGATGGTCTGTAGTAAGCACTAGACTAAGACTAGCTTCGTCGACTTTCAGGTCTCACACAGTCGGGCTCGAACTGTTTTCATGGTGGGTCGTAAAAGAAAGAGGCTGGAGACGACTTCTGATGATGACAGCTACGACAGCTGCTGTTCCGATGATGACTCTAGCAGTCAGAACTGCAGTTCTTCTACAGATATGAGTTCCAGTGAGAGTGACAGTGCTGAATCCGAGTCATCGTCTGCTGAGCTTCCGTTGGCCAAGCTGGCTAATCTTTCGTTCAACCATATCTTCATGGCAGATGAAGATTCCTCGTCAGATGAAGACGTGTATCAGCGATCTGGAAAATCCAAGGCGAGGCTCACTGCCTCACTGAAGCAGAGCTGCTGCAAGGGCCGTTGCAAAAGGAATTTGAAGCCGATTTGGAAGTCGGTCTGTTATTTGGTCGCCTGTTTTTGGGCACTGTCGAAGCAGGGCCAAGACGGATTGCTATGGAGCCTGCAGAACCCGTTGTTCTACTCGCAAACTCAAGACGACGATTCAAGTGACGAATCCGAAGATACCAGCTTCAGTGTCGGAAAACACTCTCCGCGAATCGAGTGGCGTTTTGAAGGTGCTTTGCTGCAAGGTAGCTTCCTTTTCTCCAGTCCTGGGACCCTACCTCCACCCCACCCAAACCAGGTTTCAGGGCAAGGCCTTACCTTGCCAAATTCAGTCCTGAGCGAGATCTGAGGTGTTCGTGTATGCAGAAAGGCTTTCATCCAGATTCTTGGCATATCGCCAAACAGATTGGTTCGATGCCGCCGGAGCTTCCGCGGCATGGACTTGCGCAAGTTCCGCTCCATGGATTGAAATATAATGATGTAAGTGTTCTGGGGTTGCTGGCTTGTGTCATGGAATCAGTCGTCCTTATCTAGAGATTTCCCTAAGTCCCAGGCAGGCCAAACACTTCAGCTCCGATGTATGCCTCCTGTGTGGCTTTTATCCAAAAGCTTTATTGGGGTATCGCAGAGCCAATGCCGCATGAGTGCCCTGGCAGCATCAGAATCAAAGATCGTGTGTTTGTATGTGTTGACCATGAGGTACACCATACTGCAATGGTCACATAGCACTTCCAAGAGTCAGTGCCAGGTTAAAGGTGAAAGACATGGCTGCCGGTGACTTTGTGACCACGGGTGTGTGCCAACAAGATGTAATGAAATGCCTCCTGGATGTATCCTTGCAACAAGAACTGCAGGGAATACTGGAGCCAAGACACCTACCAAAGAAGTACCTACCTCCTGGAAAAAGGTCCGACCTATACCACCTGTATGTGGCTTCTTGTATGGCAGCAGAATCAGAGGTGGCCTCTGTCAAGACGTTTTACCGGGCATTCGAGCAATCTGGCTTTGCAAAGGTCCTCCGTTTCAGGCATAAAACACAGCACACCGAATGCATGATTTGCTCAAGACTTAAATCTGCAATTGCAGCCTCCAGAAACTTTATCGAGCATGCCGAGCACTGCGACAAATATCATCGACATTTGGGTGGTATGTTTGCAGATCGGCGTGTGTATGCCTCACTAAGGGCAAGAGTTTCCCGGCATGATTGAATAGTTGTTACACAGCATGTTTTGTTTTGTATGTCCTCATGTAACACCTGACCTGGGATTCTCTTCAGACACAGGTCGTCAAGGATGGAGATCTTTTGCTGGCTATCGTAGACGGTATGGACCGGAGCAAGTATGCTTTACCAAGGTGGTTTAACAACCGAACCCCGAAGGGAGCCGATAAGAAAAATCGGCCATCAATGGATTTATATGCTTGCATACTGCACGGTCGAGCTGTGAACATCTTCATCACGGATGAGAACCAAACCCTGGGGGCTAATTTTGCAGCTGAGATTTGGTCCCGTTCTGTACAAAAGGCTTGGGAGCAGGCACAGCGTGACAACAAACCGTTTCCTTCTCATGCCATACTCTTCGGTGACAACACATCTCGTGAGCTTCGCAACAGTTGCTTTTCAAAGCTCTTCTGTGCGATTACCAATGCTGGGTGTTTTACGTCCGCCTCAGTCAAGCATTTACCAGTGGGTCATACCCACGAAGATATTGGTGTGGGGCCAAGTTGTTGCTTGTGTCGAGTAAGGCTGTCTGCTGAGTGGGGAACACAAAACACTGTTACAACCCAACTCAGACGCTTTCTTCGGAATGCTGACAACCATGATCAATGGATGTTCGGATGAGATGCTCCTTGGACACTACTTTGAGGTCTTGGAGGTTGAAAACTACTGGTTCGTCTTGCAATGGGGTTGCTCGGTCTTGCTTGCCACTATTCGAGGCAACGGCCGATAGATATTATCAACATCCTGAAGAAGAAGCTGGCGCCAATGTTTGCCAACAGAGTGGAGGAGCTCAACATCGAACATGTGACTTGTGTCAGAGATTGGGATGCGGAGTTGCCCAATGCGGTGAAGCTGTATGGAGCTTACCGAAGAAGGAAGGGTGATCTAGATGCCAACAGAATCATTCCCCATTCCTTCACATTTGTTCGGAGAGAGAGCTACCTGTACAGAATTCAGAATCAGTCAGTTCTTGCAATCCTTCACAGGTTCAAAACCTCAAAGTTAGTGTGATCTTGCTGGCTTAGTGCAACCTTCGGCGAGCCCACACGTGTTAAAGATGTAGTTGAACCTGTCATTCACTGAGGCTTACCGAATCGAGTTCTTGCGGGTGCCCGCGAGAACCTGCCCCGGCGGTTTCCACAACACGATTCGGATGTCTTTGCCTTCGTGAAGAGGTATATCTCTGATGTGGATTATTCGCAACGGCCCTTGGTGGTGTACCCTGGTAGTGTGCAGCGGGAGACACTCAGATCTCTTCGACGACTATCCGGACCAAATTGCCAAGGCTGCTATGCTTTGATTTGTGTTTCCCCCCGATAAACTATCCTAGGTCTGTCAGCCGTTCATGTGCATTGTGGTTCCTGTGCTGCTCTCTGGAAAGATGTTTCGAGGTGTGGCCAGACATCTTGAAAGTGCAAAGGCCGAGGAATACTCAGACCTGGCAGATTGGCTGGAACAGTCATTTCCCCACCGTTACAGCCGTGGGGTGCACTACCTGCGCCAGCTCTCAGGTGAGACAGCCATGCCACAAGAAACGTTACCCAGGCTTTCATGGTTGTCACCGAACCAGATTCAGCTTGCGGCCCCCCCTCGAGTTGTGTTACCGGACCCGCTGGAAAATGATACCCACAACTCGAGGGTTCAGTTTCACAGGTTGTAAGAGCTCTGAGTTTCTTGCCCGAGCCATCGAGAAAGAACAATGGAAGGCTTGCCTGAACTTTTGGAAGCTGTAAACCTTCTGCGAAGACAGGATTCACGGCTGCTTCGTCTTGTCGAAGAGATTCGTTGATTCAAACTTGCAATGTTTGGTAAGGCCGAAAGGGTCGTTTGTGGAAGGTCCCAGATCAAAGTCTGTGGAAGGCTCTCGGTCCCTTGGTCGTTTGTGGAAGGAAGAGGGTTGTCTCTCTCAGCAGAAGTTTCTGGAAGGCCCCAAGGGCCGCTTGTGGAAGGTCTTTCATCAAAGTCTGTGGAAGGCTTGATGTTGTCTGTGGAAGGAAGACTAAGAGGGTTGCCTGTGGATGATTGCGATGTGTGCAGCCAATCGCTTGCATTCATGTTGTTTTGGCCGAAAGACGGTTTTTGGTGTCTGAGTAACATCCAGCGCGGCCATCCTTGTGCCACGATGGACATTCGTCCAAAGGACGAATCACAGGAGGAAAGTGCACTGCCGGCGGCCAGCGAGGCCGCATCAGGTGGTGGTGTGTGCGAGCTCGGCAAGACTCCGACCAGCCTCACAGCGCGGATCGAGATGGCCTTCAATCAGGCGCGCGGTTAAAGTATACTGTTGGGCCTCGAGTGGACTAGAGACCAATGTTGGTGGTATCGTAGCCTATTGATCCTTCGAGGTTTGTGCTGATGGCAAGCACATCGGGGATGTGCTCAGGGAGATGTTCCCCCACAACATTGAGGGGCACACAGCCTTTTGCAAGGCCTTGCTTTCAGTGCCCAAAGGTATCTGGCATGCAGGCTTTGCCTGTCACTGTGTCATTATTTGTATTTGTGTGTGTGTGTGTGTGCGGTGTGTCCTTGCAGGTCATGTTGACTACCCTTTCCATCCCGGCCGTGGCTTCGAAAGTCGAGCCCCACCGTGCAATCAATTATATTCCCAAGGACAATGTCAACGACTTCTGGATGAATCCTTGGCAGATCGACTACTCCCGAAGATGCAAGTATGGTGTCCTGTCTGAAGATTAGACACAGTCAGCAGAAAGGCCGGTAGATGAGGACATGATGTTATGGTGTGGCATGGCAGGGCACCTCATGATTGTGCTTGCTCTTGCATGTTGTGGTGCGCCCAAGGTGAGCACGGGAAATTCCCAGATATGTGCACATTGCGCATCCACTTTTCATCGATCCTGCACCGTGGCTTCCAGGCTTTCCGAGAGCCGCTCGAGGTGCGGTTTCCTGCGGATGCTGATGTGCCACCAGGACATTCTGCAGTGATGTCTTTAATGCTGTAGACCCATTCAAAAGGATGCTTTAAACCATTCTTGTCATAGTTATGACGACGACCTGAGGACAGCCTGCGATTGAGAATGTCCCCATCTTCCAAGTGAAGCTGGTGGACGGCTTCACGAAGAGCTTGTGTGCGCAGACGATTTTCGCAATGATACACCATATGGTGACATGGCTCATTGTGATATGTATCTGTTAAGTATGTCTCTGTGGGCTGGACCTGGGAACTTGTTAATGCGTTGTTGTGTCTTGTTCTTAGTCTCAGTGTGTACCTGCAACAAAGCAAAGCTCAGGGTATCACTGCAGATGAAATCTCTGGAGATGCAGACTTCGCAAACTGCCTTGCATCTTGCAAGTACTTGAAGGGCAATTTCACATACCATGAACGGCCGGAGATGTATCTCTTCGAGTCTCTGGCTCTGTGCCAGAGGACCTCGGAGAAGCAGAGTGCCTCAGCCCTCGATCTTGCAAGTGCTTTTGCGGAAGCTGTGCGCATCAAGCGTGCTGTGCTGGGCCAGAAATCACTGCGAGATGTGCTTGGACTGTGTGTGTCGGAGTACAACAAGGCCGTGGGCCGGGTGCCTTGGACATCACATTTGATTTCATTGGGATCTGAGTGTTTGTTTATTCTGTGTATGTTGCTTTATTCATGTAGAAGGAGCGGTGGGGGATGGGTGGCTGGGTGGGTGGGTGGGGGAGGGTGTGTGTGTGTGTGTGTGTGTGTGTGTGTGTGTGTGTGTGTGTGTGTGTGTGTGTGTGTGTGTGTGTGTGTGTGTGTGTGTGTGTGTGTGTGTGTGTGTGTGTGTGTGTGTGTGTGTGTGTGTGTGTGTGTGTGTGTTGGGGCGTGTGTCTGTGTGCTTCTCTTGGTTTTTGTTGTTGGTGTGTGTGTGTGTGTGAGTGTGTGTGTGTGTGTGTGTGTGTGTCTTTCGCAAGGTGGTCTTATCTTCTAGCCCTTGCTTGATTTGAAAGATGCTGCTGCTTGCAGACGATGTGCTTCTATTTCTCCTTCTTGCACCTAGGACCACAAAGTCAAGCAGGAGACGCAGAAGATTATTTACAATGTTCTGCGATGCCCGTTGGAAATGCGGGAGATCTTGGCCCAGGTGTATGGTGAGTACCGCCACTACAATGCAGGCAGTGCACTAGTGTGCATGTGTAGACTTACAGCGTGGCTTTCAGCTTCATGGACTATGTGTTGTTATCTATCACATGCAGTCTCAGTCCCCATCTCTCTCTCTCTCTCTTTATTTTTTTTCTCTCTCTCTCTCTCTCTCTATCTCTCTCCAGCTCCATCTCTGTATTCAGTGCAAGTCTTGCACCGGCCAGCGCTGACTCTCGAGAATCTGGCGGGTGACTTCTATGTGCCGGGCACGAACCTGGGGAAAGGCCAGGGCGGCAAGTGGCCTGAAATCTTGGAAGCTTGGCTCCCATCCACGAACAATCACGAACTTAATACCATGCTGTAGGGATTCTGACAGTCTGAGCAGTCTGGTCATTGGGGTTCAAACATCGAAGCACAGAGCTCGGGCTGTGGGTTTGACTTGAGAAGACCTGAGGAAGTGACGGATGCCTGCACAATCACCTGGTTGAACCGGGTGGTTGCTGCACATCGGAGCAAGGCCCCTCCGGGGTCTTCTGTCAAGAGCCAGGCGCTGGGCCAATACCCATGAGATGTTGTGAGACATGGCTTCATGTGTGTCTGTGTGTGTGTATGCGCGTGTGTGCAGTCGCTCCTGTATCTGTGTTTCTTGCTCGGGCTGCCCTGCAGAAAAACGCGCAAATGAGCAATGAGATGCTGCGCGAGACGATGGAAATGTGCTGCTTGTGGCAGTGGCTCTCTCCGAGCTTGAAAAGGATGGTCGGCTCCGGGCCAGGCTACGACAAGATTCTGGAGGCTTGGAAGATGGGGAGCCTCGATAGCACTTAGAAACTCGTGCTCATGTGTTCTGCAAGACAGAGCGACCCTCGATCACGATTGGTGTTTCATTCTCAAGTGAAAGACAGACCTGTGTCCCTCAGGTTTCTGTTTAGTGTGTGTGTGTGTGCGCGTCTGTCAATCAGACCAGTGTGCCATGGCGAAGTTCACGAAAAGCTGTGCGAAGTTTTTCATCCGCCACCGACTCTACAAGCTCCGACAAATTTGGAACAAGATCCACTATCTGGACAGATCAGAGCCTTGACTTGCTGTTTGTTTCTTCGAAGTCTAGCAATCCTGTTCGGTTTGTTCTATTCCCTTACAAGCTGTCTGAGTTCCAAGGAGTTCGCGTCTGCTAGGGAGTTGGGCAACACATTGGCGGATCTCGCTGCCGAGTACGAGCGTGAATGGATGGGTCAAGAGGATGCAAGATGGGAGGGACCCAGTACAACGATGGAGACGGAAGCATCCGGTTCTGCTGGTTCAGAGCAAAGCTCAGGATCGGCGGACAAGCCGTGCCGCCAGTGAGTACATACACCTAATTAGCATTTTGGGCATCCTAATTAAGTGATTCGTATGCAAGCCTGTGCGATGGCTGGATCGTCATGCATGAGGGACACACTTCCTGCACCTACGAAGGAAAATGAATGTATCAGTCATTCTGAAATTGCCAGCCTTGAGAATAAGAGCATAAAGCCGAACATTGGGAAACATGGCCTGGGAAAGTAATGTATTTCTGAAATCCGACACCGGGACTCCACAATACATTCATCCGCGCAGATGGTTGTAACACCGATAGGCCGAAGCAGGCAAATGAATGTATTTTGGGGATTAGAATCCCGGGCTTCGAAAATACATTCATCTGCGCAAATGGTTGTATTTAGTAAAGAGGCAAACATATCTAATGTATTTTCAGAAATAGAATCCCAACATCCCAAAATACATTACATATGTCTGCAAGATACAAAAATACAGTCATTTGCGCAAATGGTTGTATTTTCAGGATATCGATCCAAGACAGAATTTTTACATTCATTTGCCTCCACGGCACAGATTTGAGGGACCTGGGGCCAGTCATCCGTGTGTGCCAGCAACATATAGAAATGCATCCAAATGCGCAAATGAATGTATAATCTCAATCACAGACATGGATCCAGGACAGACGTCTTACATTCATTTGCCTCCAAGGACAGGCTTCTAGGTGCCCCTTCGGATTGCAACTATGTCAGTTCGCTTCCTACTTTTATTGAAATCATACAAGAACATATTGTACCTTGAAAGTGTATATATATATATGTATATATATATATATGTATGTGTGTGTGTCTGTGTCAGATGCACAGCTAAGAAGAGAAAGTATATCTTGATGTTTGACATCCTCAGACCTCTAGTCTTTAAGCAAGAAAACATCACCAAACGGATTGAAGTCTTATTGCTGCCTGGCAACTAAATTGTTATTAGACTGACCTTTGAATCTTTTGTGCATGGCAATGTCCAGACTTTGCAGTCAGCTTCCCATCCTCCAACAGCATCCCCATCAACCGCCTAGTGTGTCTTGTCATGTCTGGTGCAATGAGTTGTTTCCTGCATGCCAGTTTCAAACGACATTGCTGGCCCATCCAAGGGCTTTGGATGCTGAACTCAGGGGAGTCGTGAAAGCGAAGGACGCGCGGTTTGAAGCAGATCGGCTGGGATTCGTCCTGGAAGCGCAAGGATCTGCTCAGCAGCTCTACCTTGAGCAAGGACAGAGCAGGATCCAGAACGCCCTGAAGCAGGCCGAGCGAAGCGCCTTCGAGTTGTTCCAGAGGCAGCTGCAGAATGATCAGGCCCACTTCCGGTCGAGTCTTGGATGCACATACATGCGTGTACTTCAGTGTGTCATGCTGCAGTTGGTTCCTCTTGCTGCTGGATATGGCAATGACAATCTTTTAACAAATGCCTTAAGGGAGATTCTGAGAACGTCCGGTGATGCGGAGCGCAAGCGGCAAGCTGCTGTGTCGCTTCTGGAGGATTGCTGACTGTTGACCTAAGATAGTAGCAGTGGCCAGCCGTGAGTTTCGTTTCTATCCGATTCTGTCCATGTCTGCCCTGCAGACGCTGCACAAGACCGGGTGGATGCAGATCCGCAGCTACGGGGAGGAAAACTTTCCGGTGTTCAATCTCATGCCGAAAAAAAGGACTGGGGTTGAGCGCGACTACGAGGTGAAGCCTTTGGATCCCCAGCTCCAGCCCTGGCTTGCCTCGTCCTTGACTGGCTTGCAAGGTGGTGTGCGAAATGGAGGCAGTGAGCTCGTGGTGTATGTGGCTAACCTGGTTACCCAAGGTGTCGTCAGTGCACCGAAGGTGAGCTTCCTTGTTCAGTCCTTGCAGAGTGGTGCTGCCAATATGCCGAACTCCTTTGTGGGTGTTGTCTTCATGCACAACCGGGCGTGTGATGGACGAGTGAAAACGTGCCTAGGTAGCAATGACTCAATGATTGAACAATAATGTAAGATGAATAATATCCCAATCCGACTGAGGTGTGGTTCT